CAAGGTTTTGCTTAGTATTTGTGGGAAGAAGAGAAGGGCTGGAGCTAGGAGGATAGTGGTCTGAGCCACACCTGGACAAAATATGAGACCCTATGTAAAAACAAAAGGCTGAAGGGATGATTCAAGTGAAAAGAGCTCAAACACAAGGGCCTGAGTTTAAACCCTAGTACCACTACTACCCCTCCCCCCAAAAAATCAAACTGAAGTAATTTTCCATTCCTGAACTTTTCCTTCCCCTCCAGATAATCAATTCCACCCCTCCTTTACTCTCATCATCCATCTCCCACCTAGTCTTTGATTTCACCTCTATTCTTTTTGACTCCCCACCCATGACTGCTCATCTGCTTCCCTAGCCTACCAAAGAAAATAGCCACCATGATTTCTAGTATGTGTTGAGCATGAACTCTCTGTCAGGCACACTTTATGTGTGTGATCTCATTTAGTCCTTAGTACACACTTAGGTCATGGGTACTATTACCATCCCCAGTTAAAGACGTGGAAACTGTACTCAAGGTTACAGAGAGAGTGTGGGACAGGCAGAGAATTTAAATCTTGTTTGAAGCCAGTGTGCTGACCCACCTTTTCCACCTTTGTAAACTCAAGACTTCAAGACTTAGTTTAATATGCTTACTCTTCAATGAAGCCTTCCCAATCTCTCCGGTCATTTCTTCTATGTTCTCAGCATTTTCACCTACATTTATTACAGTATATAATATTATTATTTACACATTGGCCATTTATTAGTTCCTTTGGCAAATATATTTTAAATTTATTGGACTCTATAGGACATTGTTACCAACAGCGATTGAAGCCAACCTGGACCTGGCCAATCATTTCTGGCCAGAAAGAAACATTAATCAAATAGACACACAAATATACCATAAAATCCCATGTGATAACTGCTACGGAGAAAAACGCTGGGTGGCGATGTGTCTGTCTCTAGGTATCACATGAGCACATTTGAGATACATTTTAACTTCCCACCATTAATTTGCTTGCAACTTGTTAGGCAGTTGATGTTGCATGAATAAATTCAGGAAATATTTAGGTTAGAAATTAGATTTCTAATTGGAAATTGAAATTACCCTTACAGAAATCTTTTTTCCATCTGCTGAGTACAAAAACTTTTAACGAGTCGTTTGTTTTACAAAAAGCTATATAAATGAAACCTTCAAATATAATATTTTAGATCTCAACTTCATGTGGAAAAGCATTCAGTCAGCTTTAAAATGCGCCATTTTCAAATGATTTTTAACTTACTAACTTCCATATTTCTGAATTGACAGAAAAAAACCCATAATAAATGCTTGAAGAGTGTCACCTTGGATCAAGACGAGAGATTTCTCAATAGATAGAAAATAGTCTTTGGCCTATAAACAACATTATAAAAAGATATTAAGTTGCTTTAAAAGGTTAGACATTAACAGCAACCTATTTTTTTTCTGTCACCTTATGATGCAGCTTATCATGTTTGAATATTTGAATTCACTGCTCTTAAACTTATGATAAAGTACAACAAATTGGAAATGGGTTTGGTTATTGAGGAAAATTAATTTAAAAATAGTAAAATGAAAAATGTCCATCTGTTTACAAGCACAAGACCAATATGGAGTGCTATCCTGCAACTATGAATGCCATGGATTTTGCTAGAGTGTCCATGTCAGTGCCCTACTTACCTGTAATATCCAGATAGGTGTGGGCATGTAAATTAGGTAATGTTAATGTACAGTTTGGAGTTTAACGATGAGAAATGTTACATAAACACTATACTAAAAACAGTAAAAGTTTTTGCTTACTGAATTGCTCAAATCATTCCTAGAACTGTGTATGACAAAGAATGGGAGACTGTGCCTCTTCTACGATAGATTACTTCTTCTAGATCGGTAACTTGATGGAAAAAAATAATCATTTCCCATCAGTGGTAGTTTTATTGATGTTGAAATGTGCATAATGTTTTCTTTCTCATGGGCTACAATTTGGATTTAGAGTGTACCCTAAAGGCCCGTATACTAAAGACTTAGTTTCAGCTTATGGTGGGTCCTAGTGGAAGAAAGTTATGTCATTGGGGGTATGCCCTTAAAGGCATGTTGGGAGCCCGACCACTCCCCTCTCTCTTTGCTTCCCAGACTCTATGGGAAGCACTATATACTTGTGCTGTGAAGTTTGGTCTCACCACAGGCCCAAAAGCAACAGTCAGCCAACTGTGGACTCAAATCTTTCAAAGTACAAGATAAAATGAGTATTTCCTCCTTAGAAGCCAAGATTCTCAGGCATTTTGTCACTATAGCATAAAACTAACAAATACTGAGATTTCCATCCCTTTCCCATACTCCTAAGGATCTGCACTGCTTTATTATCAATACCTACTTTTTATTGAATTTATCCTCTCCTTTACGCCTACCATCCAACTTCCACCCAATCTTTGATTCGACCTCTATTCATTTTGACTCTCCATACTTTTCTCAATACCCAGGGCTGTTCATTCTGCATCCCTCCCTAATAATTGATAGCAACCATAATAATTTCTTGTATGTGTCGAGTATATACCATGTGTCAGCCACATTGCAGAAAAGCAACTTTTCTTCTCCTGTATTCTTCAAAAGTAAACAATTTGCCAGATTTAAGATCTTGGTCCACTTGTCCCCTGCTTCTCTGCTTACCTACAACTCAGTTGACATACACTGAAGGAAGCCTGACCATTGGCATGGTATCCGAATACCATCAATTTCCTCAAAATTACACATACATGGGATCTGTATTTCATGCTCAGTATATATGTTTTGTGACAAATTAGGCTTATCACAGCATGATTTTGGATGAAACAAGACTGAAGACATTTTACTCTTGCTATAATAGTACCTCAAATTATATACTTTTACCCGTTTAATAAAAACAATACATTTAAAAAACTAGTCAATTATTTCCACCTTGATTCAGTTACACATTCATGTTTCAATTTCACAAACTCCAAAATAGTATAGTCTCATTTTAAATACATCTAATTCTAAACATAATTTAGAAAAAATTAAATACGTTAAGTTATGGAATGATAAGTCCTTCTAAAATCAGCAATTTCCTGATAACATCAACAACATGCAAATGGGATAACTTAAGAATATACATCATCAAATAAAAGGATTCTATTAAGTCAGCGGCCAACATCATTGGAGGGTATTATTTTAGTTATACAATTTTGTAATCTCAAAATGACAGCTTTTATAGATTAACAAACAGTTTTTCCTGACAGTTATACCTCAAAGAGACCAGACTGCATAAAACCAACAATGAGAGTTGAGCCATTTCAAAGAACAATTAGTCATTCAGAGTCTGTGACTAGCCAAGCAATACTCTAGCTTGCCTTTTCAATAGCAAAGGAGGAAATTACTTGCTAAACCACCATCTCCTCAAAGCTACAGGATGAACAGGCAAAAACTTACCTTAAATGGAGATGACTTCAAACAGCCTTTGAAACCACTTCATCCTGCCATTTGCTGTAATGACAAGGATGAAAACTACTGCCACAGCCTCATCAGTTTTCTCCTTCATTTACTGCAAATGTTCTCTACTCTGCTGCATACTGTTACCTGGTGAGGTTCAAAAATCTGCAAGACAAGTGTTCTGGGAAGGCCTGAGGCACTTGTGCATTTGAAAAGCTCTCCAAGTGATTCTAAGGTACAGACAGGGTTGGGCTGAGAGCCCACAGTTGCTACTTTGGTTTCTTAGTCTTAGGTCTTGCACTCCTGTGACAGCCTCTATGAATACTGCCGGATCTTTCTCTAATACCTACAGAATTAAATTCAAACTCCTGAATTCAGGGTACAAGACTCAACATGACAAGCTCTTACCTACCTGCCCAGCTACCTCTCCCCTGCTCTTTCTCCACTAGCTTTGTGAAGCACTTGGTTGCAACAGGCTGGCCTCTGGGCCTGAGCACTTACTCATCTTTCATTGCTCTGAAATGTTCTCCCCTGTTTGTCTGCCTGAAGAGCTACACCAACTTGATGAAGCCATTCTTGTCGTCCTAGCTAGCACCCATCCCTGCTTCAAGTGTCCCCAAAGTACCTCATCTACCCTACACATATGAGGATTTGTGGACCAGGTTTCTTTTTCCTATATAATCATACTCAACTGTCATTTTAGAACATAAGTCCCTTTTACCTTCTGCTATAGCTTGGATCTTATGTGTCCCCCAAAGGTCCATGTAGTAAACAACGGCTTCCCCTTTATCACTAGGGTGATGCTAGTGACAGCTGGTGGAGACTCTGAGGTCAGGCCTAGTGGGAAGTCTTTAGTTTAATTGGGAGCATGACGTTGAAGGGATTTTGAAACCGCAGTCCCACAATCTGCGTAGTTTTGCTCTGCCATGCGTTCCTGCCATAGGCCTAAAATAACAGGGCCAATCGGGCTTGACTGGAACCTCCAAAACTGATTGTGAACCAAAATAAGCCTTTTTCTTTGTAAACTGGTTATATCAGGTATTTGTTCTGGTAACAGAAAGCTTACTAACACTTTATTAAACATTTTGTCATCTTTGCCTCTGTTTCCCCTAATTTTAGCAAATGCCAAGCATATGCTGGCATTCTGGATTCCCTAATGAAGGAATAACATTTTATACTATTTTCACTTATTATAGACAGAGTCAGAGAACACTTACATTGGAACCATTGAAAAATTCAAGCTCAAACTTAAGGAAAAAACCTGAATATTAATTTAGAATTTGGTAACAGTAAAGGCTATTACTCCAAAGCTCAACCTTTCAATCAGGTTATTAGATTAATTTTCAATATGATTAAGGTCAAATAAAAAAACCCTCAAGAGTACTATCTCAGTATCAGTCTCCCAAACCATATGTTGTCAGAATCCTAAGTAATACATGCTCACCTCAGGCCCAAGAAAGGGGAGGGAAGCCCATTTCATGCCCACCACAGGTCAGCCTAATCTGGCTGCTCCCATGATGTGACATGTGACATGTGACCCACAACTCTGCTGAACATGCTTACTTTGTATTTGCTTTCAGATCTGGAAGGGGTGGGGATATGTCCTTTCTTCTTGAAGGTTGTAAAGTGCTTGCACTGAGGACATGGCTTGGTACTGGAATCAATACGGCCAAGTTCCAAGAAGTACTTATACTTGATGGAGTCTTCATGGGTCAAGTTATAGACCACAGTTGTTTCTTCCAGGAATTCAAAACACTCTGTGATAGGGCATTTGATTTCCACCTGGCCAAGTTGTACCTGTGTGAAAAGCAGATGGAAGAGAAAAGACCACTGATTATTGAGTTTCTTTTTCTTTTTTGCATACTGTATTGCTTATTTCATAGTTGTAATAAAGGATTTTGTTAATTTTTAATATAATATAATGAATGGTAATCACTTTGAGAGCTGTATTAGTCAGTTCCAAAAATAATCACTATATGTTTCCAAAATGATTTAAAGGATATTTAAGTCTACTCTCCCCACTATATTGTGAACTTAAATGAACCAAAGCCACGAGCTCATCAAAGCAGCAAGTTATCATCCTATCTTTCTGGAAACCGCAGGGTGAGATGGCATTCAGATGCCAACTAAAAGGTGTTTCAGATTTTTCAACCTTACTACAGAATATTTTAGCACTAATTTTAGGCACATTTTACTACTTTAAAAGGACAAAAAGATTTTAAAAAGTGTTATTAGTTAAAAAAAAATCATCAATAAATACGTTTTCTCTGATTCTTCGAGGACAAGGGCATAAAGTAAGCAGACTCTATGTCACCAAAATCTGAGGACAAGTAAGAAAATTAAACCAAACACGAAGGTGTAAGACAAAACAAAGAAATCCTTATCAAATCTGGCTACTACTGAAATAATTTACTAAATTAACTTACTCAGAGGACCACAGAGCTAGATTAAGAGAGCAGAGAGGGAGCGGGATGTACCAGATGGTACTTTAAGCATTTAGTGTGGGACTGTACATGTGGCTAACATTAAAGATAAAAGCAAATGGTTAAGTCACAAAACGCGGACACAACTAATTCTTAGAAGATGTTGAAATAGGAGGAGCTAGAATGTTTTCTTAAGTAGTGAATAATAACAATAGTCCCATGGCATCAGATCAGAGATACTAAAAACTCCTCATGGTAAAAGAGTATAAGTCCTTTGATTTTCACTTGAGTGACTCTGGGTTCTGAGAAATCAAAATACATCCTCCTTGCCCAGGCATGGTGGCACATACCTGTAATCCCAGGTATGAGACAGAGATTAGGAGGACTAAGGATCAAGACCAGCCCAGGTAAACAATTATCAAGATCCCCATCTCAACAAATAAGCTGGATGTGGTAGCATGTTCTTATAATCAGAGCTTTGCAGATGGCATAGATAAAAGAATTGTGGAATCATGTAAGCCCAGGCAAAAAATGAGACCAGACTCTACTTGAAAAAATAACTAAAACAAAAAAGGGTTGGAGGCATGGCTCAAGTGGTAGAGGATCTGCCTAGGAAACATGAGGCTCTTAGTTTAAACCTCAGTACTACAAAAAAAAAAAAAAAAAAAAAAAGAAGAAGAAGAAGAAGAAGAAAAGAACAGGGGGGGAAAAAAAAAACTCACGTCCACCCATATGAGAAAAGTACAACTTCAAGACTGGGAAAAAGCCACCTACCTGGTCTGGGGAACAAAAACATCACCACAAAGAGCAATTAAAAAAAAAAAAAAACTGAACTAAATTCATAGCACCTTTTAACTTTGTTGTTTATCTGGCACAAATTTGAGGGAAACTAGTTAAAAAGTGATAGGCTGAAGGAAGCCTGGCAATGATGGTTAATACCACTTAAGGACATGGGTGAAACTAATATGAAGTAGAGGAATCTGGCTTTGAATATAGCATTTATCGGTTGAAAGTATAAATTCGTACATAATGTTACAATTGCATAAAATGTGGTACAAAGGTTTAGTTTAAAAATATTTACCCAGTTTTTCAACTCTGATGAGTCTGATCATAGTTACAATTAGATTTTATTATTACACATGCTGTAGTGTTATGATAATTTTATCAACTGCAATTATTTTGTTCATTTGGTTTTGGATTTTTGAGACAGGCAGGTCTGGAACTCACTATGTTGTCCAGATTGGCCTCAAACTTGCAACCCTCCTACCTCAGTCTCCTGAGTGCTGGGAGTACAGGCATGAACCCTCATGCCTGTGACAATTTATAATAAATGATTTTAAGGTATACTTCAGGACAGAAATCCTCAAGAGATTTTCATATAGATAAACTCTTATGTAACACAGTAAGAGTCTGACTTGATGAGTATATAACTTAAACACTTAAATCATGGTGAAATGTTTCCTCTTTTAACATTCTGCTGATATTTACCAAGCCCTGTTCTGTGTCAAGTACTATGTTACATGAGGAAGCCTAACAGTCAGGACACAGAGTGGTAAGGAAGCAAGCTGGACAGGGTGGTACAGGGCACTGAAGGAGGATATGGGAAACTTGGTAGACTCAGGTTTGAGAGGATCAGAAGAGGCTTTGTGGAAGAAGTGAGGTTTTAAGTGAGTCTTAAGAGTATTAGGACTCAGCCAAACCAAGGCGAAGGTGTTCCAAGAAGACAGAAGGAATAAGTTGGGGATGGGCCTGGATGTAAGAGAGAACAGCACATTACAACAGGGATGCTCATACTCTTCTAAATCCCCAACTCACACAGTGAATGTACATGCATCACAACCTGAAACCAGGGCTTAAGGATAAGTAGTAAGATTAGATCCAAAATGTGAACATGGAAAGATGAGGCTGTATAGATGAACTTAGGCCCCAGTCCAAGAGCAGGGCATACAGCCATCTCAGGAGTCTGGACACTTTTTCCTACAAAAACAGAACACTATTCAGTTTTCAGCATGTGAAAGACAGTGCCTTCTCATTCCATCAAAAAAGGATTCACCTACATTGGGAGGCTCTTGCTTATTGGGGAATAATACATGATAGTGGTTAAAAGCCAGAGTTTTCTACCCTGAGGTTAGAGTTTGAATCAAGGCTCTCTCAACCAACAATTTTATATATTTTAACTCTATAAATAATAAGAACAATGGATACAGCAATTTCACAGCCTTCTGGGAATAGTCAGGTCTTATGGAATGTGGTTTAGGGACTAGAACAATCAAAGGCAGCTCAAGGGAGCAGGCTATCTTGTTACTCTTTCACAGTGGCTATTCATTGTTCGAACACGCTGGGATAGCATCCAACATCCACTAAGCATCTTGTCTTCTATTTCAGATTCTCAAGTCTGTCTGCAAACCAATTCCATTTCCATAAGAACACCTTACTTCCCCTTGTTTTCATTTTGTCTATAATTATTGCATACCTTCTTATTTTTAAAAGCCCCCAAAATCCTTCCCTCTACCCTGAGTCAATGACCTCATACAGTATTTTACTGAACACAGAGAAGCAACCAGACACATCCTCCTCTCTTTCCACTATCAAATCTATCAATTTATTTACATCTGTCTCCATCTTTTCTGTCTTCCCTCCATGTAAGGTATAGTGCTGAATCTACTTCCAGGACAACTACACGGGAATCTTTTGAAATGTCTACTGAGATCAAAGTTTCTCTCCCACTCAAGACCTACGTATTTGAATTTAAATTACTGCTGGTAAGCCAATAACTGTCAGTTCAACAATTACTCAATTATTTCAATTACTTGGGCTTCTTCATACTAACAACCTCCCTTATTCATGTATAGTGTGCCCTATCCGATATCCTGGTCTCTACATGTGTACATGTTTTCAGAATAATTTCATCAAAAGATCACTATCAAATAATCTTGAGTAAGCAAGAAGGATTAATTTATCCAACAAGGTATGCATTCCATTAATTCAAGGATGTACTTTGACACAACATTTTAACATCTCAAGAGTCAAGTCTGTTTCATGATCACTGGTTGTAAACATTAGCATAGTATAATCTGCAGTGCTTTCACTCTCTCGGTGTACCTAACATCCTACAGCATCCTGCGATTGGCCATGTGATCTCAGGCCTCAGTGAAATGTGGGTTAGGCACCGTGACAGACTTCTGGGAAATGAGAAGAGAGGGAAACTCCAGGCTTCTACTGAAGGAAACTTATGACAAACAAGTAAATAAACAAGGCAGACTGTCACCAATTATGAAGGAATAACACACGAGGGAAAGCATTTCTGGGGAAGTGACAGCCTGAGTTGAGAACGAAAGGGCCAGTCATGCAGAGACCTTGGAAAAGAGATTGTAGGCAAAGCAAACAAGGACCCTGGCTCCAGGGCAGAAGGTGTCTGAATGGCTTATGTTCAGAGCACAGAACTGAGTAACCAAAACACACCATGTGAGGGAGAAAACCTCATGAGATGTAGCTGGGTTGTCAGGCAGGAGACACTGCTGGTCATGGTAAGAAGTGTGTATTGTAAGTTCAATGTGAATCATGACAAGTTTTAAGAGGAGGGGTGAGTGACATGCCCTCATTTAAACTGTAAAAACATCTTTCAGGCACTTTTTGGAAAATATACTGTACAGGAGCAAAAGAGCAGATTAGGAAAACAGTGGACTGAAATCACTCTTCTCCAGCAGATGTCTAGGTAGTAGTCAAGAGATGATTGAATTTGTTAGCAAGAGGTAGCAAGTATGTGGTGTGTTTTGGAAGCAGGACCAATAGGGTGACAAATAAAAATTGTATATGTTTATGGTATGTAATATGATATTGTCAAAGTATGTACATATCATGTAGTGAGCACACTAAGAACCTATTCCCTTAGCAAGTTTTAAGCTTATAACACATTACTATTAATCAAAGTCACGACATTGTATAATAGGTCTCTTCAACTTATTCCTTCTAACTGAATTTTGTATCCTTTGACCAGCATCTCTCCAATCCTCTCCACCCCACTCCCAGTCAGCTTATAATCAACTCTATTTTCTGTTTCTATGCATTCAACACTTTTAGACCTACACTATAACTGAGATCATGCAGTACCTGTTTTTCTATATCTGGGACATTTCACTTAAAATAATGTCTTCTAGATTCAACCATGCCATCACAAATGACTTCTTCCTTTTTCAAGATTAAATAGTGTTCCATCCTACGTATATGTACATATATAACATTTTCTTTATACCTTTATACTCAGGTTGATTCTACCTCTTAGCTATCGTGAACAGTGCTGCAATGAACATGGGAGTGTAGGTATCTTTTCCACATATTGACTTCACTTTCTTTGTATGCTTAAACAGTAGCGGG